TTTCTACTAAAAATACAAAAACTAGTCAGGTGTGGTGGCGCTCGCCTGTAATGCCCGCTACTGAGGAGGCTGAGGCAGGAGAATCACTTGAACCCGAGAGGCAGATGTTGCAGTGAGCCGAGATCAAGCCACTGCACTCCAGCCTGGGTGACAGAGTGAGACTCTGTCCCAAAAAATAATAATAATTATTATTATTATTTACAGTTTGGAAACTGTCATGTTTTATTTTTATAAGAGCTTAATAATGAAAAAGGGCAAAATTCTTTATTGACAAAGTAATACCTGAAGAACCCACTGGTTGCATCATTCTACTCCTACCCTTCTGTACTTTACTCTCTTTTTTGTAGGTGGATCTCCCTGGATCTGTCAAAAGCACCCCCAAATATCGCTTGGCCCTGTTTTGCCCACTGTTGCACTTATTTCTTAGATATTACTGAACCCTGTCTACTGACAAAAACTAACCTCTGTGATACGAGTGGTAGGCATCATTTTTTTAAAAGGAAATTTTTACTTTCCAATTTAACTCAGAGCATACTGGGTTAAGTGCATTCTGTCCTGTTTTAAGCAGTATTTTCAGAGATTAAATTCTAAACTCTCATGTTCTTCAAACATCAGTAATTTCTCAGGACCAATGAGAAAACTGTGCAGATAGCCAAATGCCTGAAATTTTATCACTGACCATGAAGAAAGGTTCTTTATAACTACTGTACAAATCATTGCTCATTGGAGGAAAGATATTACATATAATTCTAAGTACCAGTATACATAAAACATAAATTTATTAAAAGATGAAATTCAAAAATGAACTTTAGACTATTCTCATCACTGGCCTAGTCTGCTAGGTATGGAAGACTATTTGGATGTTTGAGCATAGTGTGAATATTTCATCCACAGAATGCAGGGGAGCTTTCATTAGAACGAGAGAGAGAGAAAAATCTATAGTCTAGAGAACAAAAGCTAAGAGTTTCAAGTTTTAGTGGCCATGTTTCCCATAGGGCTATTGTATAAGAAGAGTAATACTATAGTTTTTTCCTATTCACAGATGGAAAAGAGTAAAATTTTGCTTTATTTAAGCCCAATAGCAATAATCTTGCATGGGTTTCAGAAAAAATGATACATATTTTACTGTGGGATAATGAGGACCATTAGTTATTAGAACAAATTATTCTCTTTCAATTCAACAGCCTTATTCATTCACTCATTTAATAGGCTATCCTCTCTCCTTTTCACTAAAATGGTCTTCCCATATGGAACACCTGGCCATGAAACATGCTACCAGACAGACTTCAGGAGGTATCTTGATGGGGAGAAATAGAGAATTTCCAAAGTGAAGCCACAGGATAAACCAACACTTGATGCTTGCCTTTCATTTCAAGGAAAGTAGTATAAAAGCAATAGAGAAAGAAAAAAGTAGTTGAAAAATATAGTTGCTCTCCACAAAAGAGTCTTAAAAATAAAAAATCACGAGCTTAATAATTTTCCTAAATGAAATTATGCCATTATTCCTGATTTCTTTGTACTAACTAAAAGGACAAAGTATCAAACTTCACTAAAGTTTCAATACTGTAATACATTTCATTAATCAAAGATAAAAACTACATTAAAAGCGAGAGAATTATTTTATGTCTGTGATTAGGCAGTTGGAGGGCTTGTATTTTATGTATACATTTGTACACTTCAACTTATTTAACAGTGTCAGTTCACTAGCTGCAGTTTTTTTATATAAAGAAAACAGATTTAGAATTTTAAAAACAAATTACAGTAATTTTATGCCTACAGCTTGCACCTCTTAGAAACCATGTACCCCCTAACACTTCTCTTACTTTGTCACCACTTCCCCATCTCCCTCCCTCCTCCTAAAACCACAGGCTACAGTAGAACTGATAACAGAGGCCTTGAAGCCCCTACTGAATAGCCACCCTAATTTTTTACTTGGGGTGGAGGAATAAAGGGTACAGATAAGAAATTCAGCTCCTGAATAGAGCAGGAGGCAAATGCCTACAGAGATTTGCCTGGTGAGCTTCAGTGTTTTCTACAGATCTTCATGATGACGGGGACTTCTGGGCCTACACGTCATTAACGCTCAAACTCCTATGTGGAAGGGGGCAGAAGGAAAGGACTACAAGATTTGTTACTAATATAGATGGCTGTGTATATACTGCTGGTGTGGGCACAGGGTAGGATGAGAGAAGAGGACAAGCAGGAGAGGAGGAGGACTACACAACGATGACAATGTCACACATCCTCGATATGAAAACTACTGTCAAGTGGCAGAAGAAAACAATGAGAAAAAGTAGCCAAAAGTGAGGAGCAGTGGCAGATTCCCCAAGGCTGAGGACACATTCCCTCCCATCAGCTTGACTTGGCTACATGGCACCAAGAAGGGACAAATCGGAAGAGTGTCCACACAGCCACGGCTGCACCTAGAGAATTTTCAGGTTGTGAGGCAGGAGTGATGGGTACGTGGGTGGGACCATGTGCAAGTCTGGAGGGTTCTCTGTGTAGATTGAGATTGGTCAATAATGAGACACAACATAAAACTTCTGAAGATGGGACCCATTTGTCTACTATTGGCTTTGAAAATAATTTGTGAAAACTGAATAAATAAGGCAGCCTATGACCATACAGCAGCTGCAGTTAAAGTATCTTTCAAGTCAACATCTGCCACTGATCAATTTATAAACAAAAATCATCTTAACTATGACTTCTGGAACTAACAAAATCAGTCCGGTCCCCTCTTAGTATGACTGGCCTTGACACATCCAGGCAGGCATCAGGCCAATCCACCCAAGTAGGCTCCATCACCCTTTATTGCTCAGCTCTTTTGCTGACATACAAGGCTCTGCAAGTCTTTCTCTTAAATGTCATTCCTGAGACAAGGCTTCTTCCATCTACCTCCTCTCAGTGCTGGGTCACCAAAAAATTCAAAACCAAAGAAGAAAAGGGTAACAGTTTTACACCAGGTTTTGGAAGACACAAATGGAAAAACTGGGAGATCTATTCTTTAAAAAATGGTTTTACTCAGAGGTTTTCAGTAGAGAGCATGAGGGTGTACAGTGAGAAATGGAGGGAGCAAGAAAAACATGAAGCCTCCTCATGCTTATACATCTATGCTATCCTGCTCCTGGCTGAAAACATCTTTCATAGCCTTTTAGAGCTAAGAACAGGCAATCAAGTTTAGCACAGTGGTGAGGATCACAACCTTTGGAATCATAGCCGGCTACTTACTACCTATGTGCCAAGACCAAGATAGTTACCTCTCTAAACCTTGGCTTCTTCCTCTGTAAAATGGAGCTAATACAACACACCTTTGTGAGGTTGTCCCAAGGACTGAATGAGATAACAAATGCAAAGTACTTATCACTGTATCCAACAGAGCAAACACTCAATGTATGGTAGAGAAAAAAGGGAAGCTAAAAAATACCTTGCTTTTACAGTCTTCTCTTCCCAGCTGAGGGTTTATAAACATCATCAAATACAACTCATCTTGGAGAATATATATGATGATTTTGGTGGTAGAATTTTATCTTCCTAATAATATTTGCTTAGGCAAATGTTAAAAATGAGCTTCCACTTCCAGAGTAAACACTGATGGGGTAGTGAGGAGGGGGTAGCAGGGAGGAGTTCAGAAACATACTCAACAGGTGCAGGACAGAAAACACGTGACTTGATAATTCATCCATGGAAAATCCAGTCTCATTCTACAAACGCGGCTGAGCACTAACTATATACAAATCCCACAGACTGAAGGAGTATGAACATATTTCTACTGACGCCTAAAAGAAGGGTGGGAGGTGGCTATCACTCACGGAGCCCTTCCTTTGCCCCAGACTTTGTGCTGAACATCTCACACACATCATCTTTCTCCCTCAGAGTAACTCTATTCTATGACTCAAGGAGCTAAGGTGTAGACCAAGGTTCAGAAGCTTGTGAATAGCAGAACCAGCATTGAAACCCAGGTCCCTATGCTGTCAAAGCCCATGGCTAAAGCTAGGTGTTTTAGTAAAAAGAGGGAGAGAATCTTCCATGAAGCAGGGACAGAATGGGCAGTGCCATATTTGGGAGACACTGCATAGCCTGAATAAGAAATAAGGCTGGATACATAGGTGGGAGCTGGAAAGTTAGTCTATAATTGCCAAAGTTAAGAGTCTATGAGATGCCAGTGGCATCTGGGCTTCACTTATAAATAGAGGAGCCATCTCGGGACATTAGGCAGTACTCTGAGAACACTCATCTTTGCTTACCACAGAAGAGAGAGGAAAGGCCTTAAAAGCAATGTAACTCTTTATGTACTTGGTCATCTAAAAATGAAACCAGGGCTGGTTATGAAATACATTTCTAAGCAAAAGACAACAATAGTAATAATGACACAGCAATGGAGACAACCTGGTGACACAGCAAAAAGCCAAAGAGATACTGAGGTCTCAGGGTTGGCTGGCACCTCCTAGGATGATGAGAACTTAGAAATCAGCCAATTCCTAGAGGATAACAGCGGGTCCAGTTTTAGAATACCTTAAGGAGAGTAGGATTCTCACAATGAATTGAATATTAAAAATTAAAAATTTCATGTTAAAAAGCCATGTCTTCTCACTTGACATGAAAATACCTTCAGCAACAGAGGCAAGATGAACCAATAAGCAACACACCATCAATCTTCTTATTAATGGAGGTACACTAATTAAAGCTATAACAATGTAAACTCAGTGACTGTAATGGCACCTGAAATCTTCACTTTACCCTTTCTTTTGCCTTCCCTCTCTTCCCTCAGTATTCAGTGAGTGTCAACTATGGAGCAGGCATGTGGTTACAGTAGCAAGTATGTGGAGCTCATAGTCTAAGAGTGGAGACAGTACCAAACAACCACAAAAATGCATTCCAAACTATAAACAAAGAAGTGACAGACATAATACCATGCCCATAAACAGAGATCTCAAGAGAAAAGGAAGACTCCATGTGCCGCTGTTACCATGTGAGGTTCTATGTGAGCTTGGGACACTTACCTAACCATGTTGCAATGAGGACAGCATCAATTCCGTCTATTGGTTCACAGATCCGAGCCACGACTGGGTGGATCTGCTGGGCCAGGTAGTACTGGGTGTCAATGGTTAGATTATCCTGTTTCTGCAGCTGCTCAGGCGCATAGGCCCTCTGACTTGCAGTGAGATTTGATCCATCCTAAAAGAAGATATGATAAAAAGACACACATAAAAAGAAGACACAGGTAAAGTTGTGAGCAACTCAATCACAGACACTTGCTTGGTCAAACACAGAGGCAACAATTTAAATTTTACGTATCTACTTCTAAACATCAAGACCTCTTTTTGACCTATTGTTGAACATTTTGAGTAGGAAAATCAAGGACAACATCTCAATCTTGAGATCTCATCCAATGTCCAAGAATATTAATCCAGTATATGTTGTGGTCTATTTTTTGCAAAAACTTGAAACCAACAAGATAGCAATGACTAGATTAAATAATTTCACCTGCCATATCACCAAACACTGAGAAGGCTTGGTAACAATTAGTGTAGTCAGAAAGGCTTTTTAAGGAGTGATAATTTTAAAACATGTGTATGGTCTCTTTTATTATGTTAATGTGATCCCTACAGGCAAGAATTCTTGTCAAACTAACTCAAAGATCCTGGGAGTAACATTTTCTATGAGAGCCATGTATCACTGAGAAGCAAATGAACAAGCGGAAAAGAGTGGGGAAATGAAATCTATAGAGTAGTACTTTATATGCAAGACACAAGAAGTAGAAGTAAAAATGACATAGTGTCCTGGTAGAGTGGCAGGGCTCTAAAAGCCAAATATCTGGCCACTGGAATGAAGGGCATGTCATTTTGTACCATTTACCTGGTTCCTCCTCAAGAAAAGGAAGATGGGTCAGAAAGCCTCTTTTCAAGAGTTTTCTCTTTTACTCTACAAAAATAAAAGCTGTGAAATTCTGTGCAATTGGCCCATATCCAGCCTTGTGAATGATGTCACCATCATCTGTGAACCAAAAAGTTATCTCTACAGGATCAACATCCAACAACTCACTTACTCTTCCTCTCATCTGAAACAGAATTTAATATTCAAACTAGTAAATTATAACTATTCACAGTGCTCAGCTGCTCAGCAGAACTGATTATAATGTGAATCCTATTCTTTCATTCCTGCTACAATCAGTTCCTTTCCAGCTCAGCACCCAGCCCAAAGCAGAAGCAACCTTCCATACACCACTGTCTTTACTAGAGACCAGCGGCAGGGGCCTCTTTTTCTGGCTGGGCTCCTGATGAAAACAACCTGGGCCTGTTTATCAACTAGGTTCTACCTGTTCTAAGACAAAATGAAATACCTAAAAAGGAAGCAAACTCAGATTAAAAGACTTATTATTATTTGTCAGGAGTTTACAACATAGTAAAAGGAATTAGGCATAATTAATCAAGTTTAATTCTTGCTCTTTTAGAAGCTTGAATTGTTAAGATGATAATAAGGTGACAACAAATGATAAAAACCATGTGAAAAAATCCTCGGGCAGTGTCTTTTCACACAACTCAATTGTATTTAGACCGCCTTTTACCAAACACATAAAATCTGAACAATTTACAGAATTGTGAAAAATTGGTCTATCCTTAAGATTACAGCAATGTTGAGTTTAATAAATTTTAATGGTGAATTAAAATAGAATTTATAGATGTAAAATAGTTTTTAGAGGCACCTGAGTTACTTTCTAATATTTCAGTAGAAGTTCTCATAGTAAGGCGTGGTTTTCAAAAAAGCAGTTAAAAATTTCTGAGCATGCTTTCAGTTTAAAACGTTTTTATTTTAAATATTCACATGAAAGACTAGTTTTAACAAAAAGGGACACAAATATATTTCTTAGTGTATTTTAAAAATCTAAGCTTGAGCATGGCTAAATTCAAAAGACTTGGTTAAATGACAGGTTTTGCTATGTTGTATTGGAAAAACATTTAGGCTATGACCGAAGATACATCCTTCGGCAGGACACAGTGGCTCATGCCTGTAATCCCAGTACTTGGAGAGGCTGAGTCAGAAGGATCACTTGAGCACAGGGGTTCAACACCACTTTGGGTGACATAGTGAGACCTTCATCTCGATTAAAAAAAAAAAAAAAAGTTAGCCAGGCATGGAGATATGCATCTGTGGTCCCAGCTACTCAGGAGGCTAAAGTGGGAAGATCGCTTGAGCCTGGGAGATAGAAGCTGCAGTGAGCTGTGGTCATGCCACTGCACTCCTGCCTGAGTGACAAAGCGAGACCCTGTATCAAAATTTAAAAAAAAAAAAAAAAAAAAAAGCCTTCAAATATTTCATTCTCAAACCTGAGCAGGGCCCCATGGTATGTGCAAGAATATGGGGCATACACCTTTAAGAACAGATTAAGAAGCAATGCTGGTCTTCTTCAAGTGCCCATGTAGTAATTTGTGAACTTCACAAAGTACATACTTTAGAGAGACAACCAGGTGCAGTCGATTCATACAAAACTAGGTAGTCATCGTTAGTAGGAAACTAATGGGAAAATATTTTAAACTGGAGACAAGTGGGCCCGTTAAAATAATTATGTTAAAGGCATGCCTTATGGAAATTATGTCTAATGAAAGTTAAATAGTTATGGATTTAAAACTTAGCCAACAAATCATTCATATAGGTTTAATGCGTTAACAAAGTACAATATAAATTACATACCAAAAACATTACTCTCTGAACTCGTCTGAATAAGTTATCAGTAGGGTACTATTTCCTAAATGTAAATTTTAAAAAAACAAAACAAAACAAAACCTGTTTAGGATATAGGCTATTCCTGGAGGACACCCTTGCCTAAGGCAGCAAACAGTCCTCTTAAAAATGTGTCATGATGGGCCAGGCACAGTGGCTCACGCCTGTAATCCCAGCACTTTGGGAGATCGAGGCAGGAGGATCACCCGAGGTCAGGAGTTTGAGACCAGATTGGTCAACATGGTGAAATCCCATTTCTACTAAAAATACAAAAAAATTAGCTGGGCATGGTGGCACGTGCCTGTAATCCCAGCTACTCAGAAGGCTGAGGCAGGAGAATCGCTTGAACCCAGGAGGTGGAGGTTGCAGTGAGCTGAGATGGCGCGACTGTACTCCAGCCTGGGCAACAGAGCAAGACTCTGTCTCAAAAACAAACAAACAAAAGTGTCATGACACATTTTCAAAAGCATATTCTAAAACTATGGTTGTGTTATGAAACAGAATAATTTGAGTGCTTAAAAGCAAAAACTTTAGGCAGATTTGGCTAGCAAACATGTTGAAAGGGCACATGTCCCATGGGTAGGGTACAAAGGCAAATTAAAGTCCTATAGGTTTTCTTGGGTTATGTTAAGGAGAATAAATTAATAAAAAGAAATATGAATCATACTTTTAAAAAGCAAATAAGGCACATACCAGTGGATGGAAATCGCTAAAAACACATAAAATTGGATGTATTGTACTACATTAGCAACAGCCATTGTGAGCCTATGTATATCAATAAGACCCGAGAAAAAGGAACTTTAAGACCTAACATTCAGACATCAAGGAACACAAAATTGACTTTTAAATACAATGATCATTCTATTTTATAAGTTACCATACATCTTAATTGCAGGTTTAGCCAAAACACAATTGTGGTTTGATTTCATTATTAATGCTATTTCACTGAACCTATATAATTTTTCAAAGTTGTATGCTGCCATCTGTTCTTGTCATTACCAATCTAAGAGCTTTTCCATGTATGTGAAGACATAAGTGAAAAAAAAAACCTAGCTTATTTACCAAAATCTTTATTGCATAATATGAAAATTGTTTTTTTGAGATGAGACTTGTCAGAGGCAATATGCAAAGCACATTAAGGGCTTGAGCGAGTCAGACATTTATGGAAATATTTTCCTGCAGGAATTGGCTTTCTGTAACAGTTCTTAATCAAGGGTAACCCTAGGGGGGAGACAGAGTCAAGTGCTGATTCCTGTCCATGTACTTAAATCATTCGTTATGTACATCCACAGCATATAGCAGATATCAGCAGACTACTTTTAAATTTTCAAAAGACTCTGATTTAAAAACACATTGATTGTGGTTTGACAAATTGGTATATCAATCATATTGCAATTTATTTTTAGGTTTATATAAAAAAAATTTTTTATTGTAACAATGCAATGCAATTACAATTAGGATAAAACTCTTAAATTTTTAAAAACACAGTTTTATTCAGATAAATTATACCTTATGGTAAGTAGTATACAGCATTGTAATTTGAAAGAATTTGGATAAATGCTATGACCCTGACTTATCTTTACAGAGAGAAGGGATGAAACCTCTCCTTTGTTAAAACTGTAGTTAAGGGCTTCGAAAGTCAAAAAACTGCTCTTCTCTCTTACTCTCTCCTCACCCATTATAGGCATGCTATTATCAAAAGAACTGGTAGTGGTTTAAAACTGTGTTCCAGAAGGCCTAGAAGTGCCTTGTGAAATGGAGAAGTAAGGCTAAGGAGGTGGGCCCTCTCCACTTGAAGGAAGGAAAAAAACAAAACTGGTTGAATTGTGTGGTTTTCTCATATGGTATGTTTGTAGGATCTCTCAACTTTTCCGTATAATCATGTAGTTCTTTTTTTTTCACATAATTATTTGGACATTTGCTAGGAAAAATGGCATTTATTCTTTTATTATTCCACTGATATTTATAATGGGAACTGCTGCAAAAGGAATGACAAATGAGGGCTACTGCTGAACATATGGCAAAATTTACATCTGCATTAAAGTTAATTTAGGGTTAAAAGAGTAGCTACTGTTATAATCCTGTCATAAATGTTTTATGAAAATCCTAATGACATATGCCACACCTCTAACTAATGTTTTTTAAATACTATGAAACTAACCAGACTTTACAACATCAATTACTGGGGAGAATGCTAAATAAGACACTGTGGCAATCTGGATTTTACTCCGAGTTCTTAAGAGGTATCAGAGTCTTATGAATGTCAATAGTTTACCTGACAGATGACGTATGACACAGTATCTCCAGCTTTCACCTTTCTGCCTCCTTGAGAATTTATCCAGAGGGCAACATGTACATGAGGTAGGCTTTTTTTATCAGGGTAATCCTGGGGATCCTTTGTCAATGCCTAAAAGAGGGAACAAAAAAGTTCTAAGCCTTAAAATAAAACCCTTCTCGCACAGATATACACTAAAAACATCTTTGCTAGAATCATATTAGCAACATAAACATAAAAAATGACAGAAGTTGTATGTAGAAAACATTGCTACAGAATCTTTAAACATCCCATCCTCAACACTCCTCTCTCCTTTGTCCAATAACTAACATAACCAGATGCAACACTAACAACAAAGAAATATAAGTTAACAGGCCATGTTGCATGATACTTAGATATAAAAAGTTAAGACTATAAATTCAGTGTTATCCAAAAGCAATGGCAACAAAAGCCAAAATTGAAAAATGGGATCTAATTAAACTAAAGAGCTTCTGCACAGCAAAAGAAACTACCATCAGAGCCAAGAGACAACCTACAGAATGGGAGAAAATTTTTGCAATCTACTCATCTGACAAAGGGCTAATATCCAGAACCCACAAAGAACTCAAACAAATTTACAAGAAAAAAACAAACAACCTCATCAAAAAGTGGGCAAAGG